CTGCTTCTCCCTCTCCCACTCCCCCTGCTTGTGTTCCCTCTCTCGCTGTGTCTCTCTCTGTCAAATAAATAAAATCTTTAAAAATAAATAAATAAACTTAGATCTATCTATTTCTTCCTAAAATGCAATGCCCAGAACTGAATGTAATTCCCCAGTACAGAGCAGAGCACAAATCTTGCCTCTCTCATTCCAGATATGCTTATTCAGCCTAAGATCACTCCAGCCTTTTGGCAGATAGTGAACTTACTCTCAACTAAAACCAAAAGTTTTTCCACAGGTGCCTCAGTTAAGCTCCATTATGGAAGAAGCAGAGGTGAGGGATTTGTTTCCTGAAAATACTCCAAAGAGCGATTGCTCCCAAATCAAATTCAAGCAGAAAGCCAAGTTCAGATCACTTACTCTTGCACCGTCTTCCATCCTCAGCTAGAACAAATCCCTCTGAACATTTGCAGATGTAGGAGTTGCCACGATTAACACAAATGTGTTCGCAGCCATGGTAGGTCGATTTGCAGACATCCTTTCCTGAGGGAAATATAGGGAGATGAGCAACTCCATCCATGCAGGAATGAGCTGGACTAAATGGTCACGTCAGGACAGATCAAAGAATTAATCCATTTTTAAAAATCCCATCTCTGTTTAAACTTTCTCTTATAATATGCCCTTTTTTTCATTCTAATAGGACAGGGCATGGGAAGGGAGAAGCTCCTCTCAGAAAGCCCCAGCCCCCACAAGCCTGAATGGTAAGATGAATGACCGGGTATCCCGTATTTCTTACTAATTTTTAGAATTATTTGATGTTGCCTTGGGTTTTGATTTTCCCAAGCTACTGATTTTTTCCCATAGACAAACACTCCAGTTTCAATTAATGAACACTTCTCATGTGTGAGGTACTTTAAATGCTTCAGAGTAGTTACAGCCATCCAATCTTCACAACATCCTGTGAGAAGACGAAAGCGGTAATAATTGTACCCAGCTTATACATGAAGAAACTCAAAATGTGTCATGGAGTCGCCTGAGGTCATGCAGCAAGTTGATGGCACAGCTGAGAGACGTGTCTCCTGTGTTCTCCTCCTCCATCACATGAAAGCCTACAGCTCTTTTCTGCCATTAGCTCCCTAGAAGGAGAAGCTTCCTATAAAATTGGGATTGGTAACTACAGATCCGCCCCCAGAAGTGGGGATGGTGGTATTTGATCTAGCAATCAAATTCCAGAGGTAGATGTTGTGCCCGGTGTAGAACAGCTCATTTTTTTGAGCAAAAAATATGTTGCATGAATAAATGGCACACGTGTGTACACTTGCGTTCATAGAAATAAAATCATGAACAGACAGCTTGGCAGACACAATGGGCAGAACTGCAGACCTGGTCTCCACTGAGGGGACACTGCAGTGTGAAGGCAAAACAGGATTGTGCAGGGAGATCTGCAGCGTTAGGCCAGGGTCCTATTGGCATCCCAGGGCTCAGCTGTTCAAACAGAACATCTTGCTAAAGGTAGAAGCCCCTCTTCCTGGTGGAGGAATGAAGACAGTGAACTCCACTCAAGCCAGCTTTGTTGACATGTGGGATGTCCCAAGTTATCTCAAAGGAGTCTGTGAGGAAATTCCCCCAAATCAACTTGAAAAGCAGTTGAACTGATTTTGCCTTAATGAAAAAAGAGCCATCCTGTCCACTGGAGCAGATATCAACAAAAGCAAGTAGACAGTTTCAACACCACCCCCCATACGCATACCCAAATAGGGACTAACAGCTCAGAATCTCCCAGTGGAGAAAAATCCTTGCCCTGTGCTCTTCTAATACCCACTTCACCAAGCTCATGTGTCCCGTCTGGCTCTTTTTTCGATGCTGTGATGGTTAATGTTATATGTCACCTTGCCTAGGCTATGGTGCCTAGCTGTTTGGTCAAACACCAATCTAGATGCTGCAGTGAAGGTGTTTTTTAGATGAGATTAACATTTCAGACATTAGACTTTGAGTAAAGTAGAGTACACTCCATAGAGTTGGCCTCATCCAATCACTTGGAGGCCTTAAGAGAAATAAGACTGAATCCTCCACCACCACCACCCCAAGGAAGAAGGAATTCTGCTTCCGGACTGCCTTTGGATAAGAGCTGCCACATCAGCTCTTCCTGGGTCTCCAGACTGCTGGCCTGCCCTACAGATTTTCTCTATGTCCATCTGCCTCTATCTCTGTGTCTATCTCTTTATATAGGCACACAAACACACACATGCACTCTATTGGTTCTGTTTCTCTGGGGAACCTAATGCACCTTCTAAGTAAACTCTCAGAATCTGTTCTGAGGGACCTACAGAGGCAACGATAGAGAAAGTGGATAAATAAAAGCCATAGAAAAATCTCTTCGTCCCCCTCCCACCCTACCCTTACTTATAAGGTCTTCCAAGAAGAAAAAGCACTGTAATTATCCTTTGATCCTCATAGTGATTGCTGGCAGAGATTCTAATTCTGTTCAATGATTAGCCAGGCTCTGTGTGAGGCTCTGGGCATCCACACAATGGTTGTGGAAGGGCCAGCAACTGGGAGAAAATGGAGAGATGCAAAAAGCCTGACAACTCAGGACCTTGACTGAGAAAATCCTGAAGAACTAAGGGTCTCCTGTACGGATCACTCGCAAACACTTTCAGATCACCCAAGGCAGGAACTTGTCATCGTAACATTGATTATAAGGGAAGATTTTAAATATTAAATGAAGTCATCTAACGGTCCGAGTCCCACAGATGGAAGAGTTCATCTCTAACTGGAGGCCACTTACTTCGGCAGCTTTTCCCATCCTCGGCAAGCCGGAATCCTTCCAGGCACTTGCAGATGTATGACTGATCACTGTTCACGCAAATGTGCTCACAGCCATGGTTGACTGTTTGGCAGACATCTTTCCCTGAGGACAGAAGAGCAAGTCAAAGCAATTTCACCAACATAAATTTTCCCCGGGCTTCACCTTGGAGGATCCACCCATCTCAGCCACCAGACCCCAGGCCCCCTTGAGCTCAGTGATCCATGGGAGGAAAGTAAAATTGAGGATGAAGTTCAGTGGGTCTAATTTAGGTTAACTCTTCAAACTTTCTCACTATCATCCTCACCATCACTCACCAGCACCTACTTCACTATCTCATTAAATACAATCAATCGTTGGCTTTCTGCAGATGCAGTTTCTGATATCAAAAGGAAACACTGTTGGTCTGATATGATTACTTAGAAGATTAAATCTCAATTTAGATTAGTGGCACTGAAATCTAATTTTGGCTTTGTCCCTGACATATGGCTTAGGAGAATCACTTAACCTCTTGGAGCCTTACCTTTCCTGTCTGTCTGAAAAAATGAGAGTCATAATTCCAATTACCTGTCTTTTATTCAAATGTGTCAGCACAAGTTGCTCTTTGCAAAGTGCTTTGAGAAGCTGGAGGAAAAGATGACTGATAGGGATGAAAATCATTTCCTCAGGGTTACATGCTCGCCTTTGATTAACAGAGATGCATCTTGGCCCCATCTAAGAGGCTTTGCTTTCTGAGACATAAGCATGAGCTCATCCTAAGGTGGTCTCTATGAGAGATTGGTGCTACGAACAACAACAATAATATTATTAAAGATAAACAGAGGCTCAGAGAAGTCAAACAACTTGCCCAGCTAATAAATGGGAGGGCTAGAAGCTGCTAGAATCTTGTTTCTTGCCACAGGGCATACATGAGCAACTTCAGTTGTAGCTCTAGCATTGGCTTTCTTCATTTGCCCATTTGTTTTCTTTTAACTGGCTTTATTTTTTAGAAAAGTTTTAGCTTTACAGAAAAATGGAGAAGATAGCACAGAGTTCCTATAAACCTCAAACCCAGTTAGCAACTTGTGTTAATGTGATACATTTGTTCCAATTAATGGACCAATACTGATACATTAAGACCAACTAAAGTCCCTGGTTTATTGACATTTCCTTAGTTTTTAACCTGATGTCATTTTTCTGATTCCATCCAGGACCCCACATTATATTTAATAGTCGTGTGGCAGTGGCTTTTGAGGGTAACTGATTTCAACAGAGATCAGGATGGTGGAATTCATGCAAAGATCAGACACAGTCACATGAGACAACCCCGGTAAAAACTTACTTCTGCAGGTTTTCCCGTCTTCACGGAGTATATACCCTTCAAAGCACTGACACACAAAAGAGTCTTCACTGCTTACACATGAATGTTCACAGCCATGGTCCCCCAAGGCACAGGAGTCCAATTCTGGGAATCCAATTGGAATTAGAGAAACAGAAGAAGGAAACTGTTCATACATTACTGACTTATTCAATCCTTTTTTTAGTAACTTATTCCATCTTAAAAGACATTTGAGACACCTTCAATTAAAGCAGTGTCTTATCCGACCATGCACATTTCAAAACAGAAAATATGTCTATGAGCAAAAATTCTTCATATATAAAGAGTGCATAAAATAAAATCATTTCCATAGGGAAAATGCACAAAAGGCATGAAAGACAATTTATAAAAGGAGAGATATAACATGGCCTATAAATATTAGAAAATGAGTTCATTTTCACTGGCTATCATATAACTATAATATCAACTTATCTACATATCTACTTATGTAGGCATGTACGTGTCACACTTAGGTGAGCCATTCTTCATCTGTTCATTCAGTCCTCAACTATTTCATGCGTCCCTACTCTGAGTCAGGTACTCTTCTAGGCTCTGGGGACTTAACAATGAATAAGACACAGTTTCTGCTTTTGTGAAGCTTACATTTGGCAGCAGGTGTGGGAGGGAAGAAGGGGGAAGACAAACAATAGACAAACAAATATATATGTCAGATGGGGAAAGTGCCGTGGATACAAGCAGGAGAGGGGAGAGAGAATGTGCCCGGGCCAGGGAGGGCTTGTTTCACAGGCTGTAGGCAGATACAGTGCCCCTGAACAGAGCCCTGAAGAGACTAGTGAGTGTGTGTTATTTGGATGGAACAGCACCCTCGGTAAAGAACAGCATTTGCAAACTACAGAGGTAGGAGCATTTGTGGCACATTTCAGGAAAGGCAAAGAGATAGGTGGGACCCAAGCAACCCGAGCCTGGCAGGGGATGAGGCCAGTGAGGCCAGCAAGGGGCAGACCCTATGGGCTTCACGGGCAGCAGTGGGATCTGAGTGAGGAAGGGTCCCTGGAGGATTTTGAGCAGCGTGGTCACATGAACTGGCTTTGTCGTAAAAGGCATACTCGGTGTGGGTGAGGATGGAGCATGGAGAGCTGGGAGAAATCTATTGCAATAAGCCTGGTGGCCCCGACCAGGATGGTGACAAGTGGTGAGATGTTGGCTATATATTGAAGGTAGAGCCTACAAGCTTTGCTGATGGGTTGATACGAAGAGGCCACCTTCCTATGGATATGAGAGAAGAGTCATGGATGACCAAGGTTTCAGGAAAGAGCAAAAAGAAGGGCTTTGCCATCCACAGGGCTGGGGCAGCTTCTGTTTGTGACTCTGTGAAAACCAAGCTGACATTTTAAAAGCCTGATACTGGAGACACGGGGGGAAGTGACGTCCTATGAGAACAATACACAATTCTGAAAGTCAACTCAATCATTTCAGATCAAGGAGAATTTTGCAATGGATAGGCACTGAAGTTATGAAATCAAGGCTCTGAAGTAATCACTTGTATAATCAGGCACAGACCACACACTTATTTCTAAGGCATTTTGCAGTATTTCTTTCTGGAGGGGAGTCCTGAGAACCACCCTGTGGGGTAGTCAAGGCAGTTGTTCTTATTCTCACTTACCAGCCGGGAGACTAAGGTTTGGGAAGGTTAATGGCTCGTCAAGATCAATTGCTAATAAGTGATAGCACCAGACTCAAAATGTAATCTTCTGATAATAAATCCCACATTTTCCCCAACTACATTACATTACATTGCTATATCATAAAGTAAGCTTTCAAACATGAAGGGAATTTTGTCCATCTTCTTTTGGGCAGACATGCTGCCAAAATCTTTGAACAATGGGAAAATATTATGTTAACTAAAATTATAACTGCAGAAGAGAATCAAAGCAGAGTTGGCTTGTCGTGTTTGCTCTGAAAATGACTTACTTCTCTGGACACAATCTAGACTCATTATTAATGCAGAACATTCCCCAATGGCTTGGGGTAGTTCCTCACGTAGTGTTGAGTGGAAATACAATTGAGTGATCCATAATAGAGACAGCTGGCTGGCTGTGGAGGTGAGCATTTTTTTCCCACCATGAATTTATATTAAGAATACTCCGTTTTCCAACATAATAAAACAGCTATAACTCTTTCCGGCCAGCCTTGTCAAGCCATAACCCAGCACACCCTTTCTTTCCCCCATGCCCTGTCCTGTCTTCTTGGCTCCATCTCAGGCTGTCATCGAGAAGAGTGGCTGAGTCTTCCCACACAGACCCTGAGCCATGGTGGTCTGCACCGGCACCGGGCAGATGGGTGCTGCTTTCCTTTATCAGAAGCCTGCTGAGTCCAAAGCCACTGTTCACGTCACCCTTGGCTACAGACTATCACAGGAGCTCCCAGCCCAGTTTCTGAGTTCTCCTGAGTGTTCACATTAGCAGCTGTTTGAAATTTTATTAGGTGCATGCCTTTTTTTAAAGATTATTTATTTATTTGACAGAGAGAGAGAGAGAGAGAGAGAGAGTCCAAGCAAAAGCAGGGGGAGGGGCAGAGGGAGAGAAAGAGAAGCAGGCTCCCCACCGAGCAGGGAGCCCGATGTAGAGCTCAATCCCAGGACCCCAGGATCATGACCTGAGCCAAAGGCAGCCGCTTAACCAACTGAGCCACCCAGGTTCCCCAATTGGGTGCATGTTTTAAAGCACGTGGAGAGTTTGATTTTTAACCTTTTCCCTCCTTGTTCCCTCAGAGCATCGAATCAGTTGACTGTAGAGCAGTGGTGAGTTCTCCACCTCACATGAGTATTAGAATCACCGGCAGAGATATTTTCAAAGGCAGAATAGGCAGATGATTCAAAATTCAAACACATTAAAGGGCATATCTCCCCTAAGGAGGGGTATCTGGCAACATCTACCAAAGTTACAAAATGTACCTTTGACCCAGCAACCTCACTTCAGGAATTCTCTCCTACAGGTACCTCGTATCATAGGAAGGGATATACTTTCAAGTTATTCACGGCAGCACTGTTTGTAATAATGACAAGTGGGAAACAACCCAAGTGTCCAGGAACAAGGGAATTAAGCAGCTGTAAAAAGAATGAGAACATTCTCTATGTAAAGATATGAAATCTCCAATAAGTATCATTGAGTGAAGAAAAAAAAAGGCATAGAACTAACATAACATAATAAAATTTAAAAAAAAAATCCAACCAAAAGAAAAAAAGAAAAAAAAAGGCATAGACTAGGGGTATATACAGTACATCATTTTTTGTGTAGGTAAAAAAAGGGAGGAAATAAAAATGTATATTTATATTTGCTCTTATTCACATAAAGAAACATGAAGGATAAATAATAAACTAATGAAAATGGTATTAGTTATCTGTTGCTGTGTAACAAGTTACCCCCAAACCTAGCAGCTTAAAACAACATTTATTATCTCACACAGTTTCTGGGGGTCTGGAATCCAGGAGTGGCTTAGCTGGGGAGTTCTGACTCAGGATCTCTCATGAGCCTGTAGTCAAGCTGTCAGCTGGGACTGCAGTGATCTCGAGGCTCAACTGGAGCTAAAGGATGTACTTCTGAGCTCACTCATGTCTTTATTGGCCAGCCTCACTCAGTTCCTCACTGGCTATTAGCTGGAGGAAGCTTCAGTTCCTCAGCATGTGGGCTTCTCCACAGGGCAGCTTACAACACGGCTTCCCCGAGAGCAAACGATCCAAGAAATGAGAGAGAGTGCTCAAGATGGCAGCCACAGTGTCTTTTATTACTTAATTTGAGAAGTGACAGGCCATGGTTCTTTCCATATGCTATCGGTCACACAGAGCAACAGTGAAGGAGGGAACTATACAAGTGTGTGACTAGCAGGAGATGGGGATCACTGGTGGCCATCTTGGAGGCTGGCTACTGATAGGAAGGGAGGTAGGGAATGGGATGGGAGGCCATAGGGGGAGCAAAGCTTCTTAATGTATGTCTTTTCATATTGTTTTGATTCTTAAACCATGTAAACCCCTTACTTATTCCTTTTTTTTTCTTTTAGAGAGAGAGAGAGCATGTGCACATGGGGTGAGGGGTGGGGGAGAGGGAGAGAGAGACTCTCAAGCAGGTTCCACGCGCAGCACAGAGCCCATCTTGGGGCTCAGTCTTATGACCCTGAGATCATGACCTGAGCCGAAATCAAGAGTCAGGTGCTTAACCGACTGAGCCACTGTGGCGCCTCAACTCCTTACCTATTCTAAAAATAAGCTAAAATTTAAATAAAAATTCTTATGGGGAACAAAGGATTTACAATGAAAAGTTTGCTTCTCTCTCACCTTTGACACTCTACATCATTACTTTTAAAGCCCGCACCATCATTTAATCAGTGTTTTATTGGACGGGCATTTAGGTGGTGCCTAGTCTTCTACTATTATGAACATTATTGTATGAATATTCTTGTGCATATAGTTTTACATACAATGTGAAGGCATATTTGAAAGATAAATATCCAGAAGCAGAAATGCCTAGTTAAAAGGCACGAACATTTAAAAGCTGATAAATGTTTCCAAGTTGTCCTCTAACGAGGTTACATCAGTGTAAGATAGTCTCGGCTTCAGGGGATCTAGGGTACCGCCGGGGCATCTGGTTGTTTTAAAAGCCCCACAGGGGGCGCCTGGGTGGCTCAGTTGGTTAAGCAACTGCCTTCGGCTCAGGTCATGATCCCAGGGTCCTGGGATCGAGTCCCGCATCGGGCTCCCTGC